AGCCTGAGAGGAGGCCTGGTCGATTTGGGTTGCAGTCACCGAAAGGCGGTGTCTCCCTGCAGCAGAAGGTGCTGGGCGAAATGGCCCTGAATCCGATTCGGCACTCGATTTGGCCACTGCACTTGGCCGAGCAGGCGAGTGGGCCAAAGAAGCCGTGGGAGGCGCACTCTTCCGGGAAGTGGCAGGGCATTCCCGGGCCACGAAGTGGAAGGCAGCGGCCACGGACGCAGTGGGCCGAGTTGAAGTCGGGGATCGTCGTCAGGCGGCAGTCTGCGTCGATGCGACAGGTCGGAAGGGTGCTACCTGATTTGCCTAACTTACCCAATTCACGTAACTCTCCTAATTCACCTACGACTACATTCGCGTATTCCAAAATGTCCATGATTTGTTTACGTCTGTTTTAGTTATCAAGGCGCCTTAAAGAAGCAACTGATTGCAAGCAACAAATTGCAAGACGCGGGTCACCGATGCGGAGGCAGAGACTGCGGCATCGGACGAAGGCAGCTGCCATCGACTCGGGGCAGTCGGCTGCCTCGATCTCAACCACCCTCTTTCCAACCACAGTCACCGTCACCCTCATTCTCCCTGTCACAGTCACAGTCACCCAAACTCGATTTCCTTCCTTCTTCACCTCAACCTCCCCAAAGAGCGCCTTGTAGAACTCACCCAGCATCCTGTGCCAGCAGAAGACCTCCTCGATCTCCTCCTCGCTTCCAGCAACCGTCAGTCTCCTCACTTCCCCAGTCAGCTCCCTCTTTCTCTCAATCAGCTCCCTCTCCTTTCGGAGCAGGTCGTCGATCTCGTTTCTGTCGCAAATGGCCCTCGTCTCGTTCAGACGCAGCTGCGTCTTCCCGTTCTCCGCCTTCATCGCACCGAGCTGCTCCTCGAGGCCCCTTTGTCTCTCTCCGCTGCTTCTGATGATTTCAAGGCGGTTTGCGTCAGACTGAAGGGCATTGATTTCCTCAGCCAATTTGTCTCGCTCTCTCTCACTCTCCCTGATTTCAGTCTCAATCTCAAACTGCTCCTTGCTCAGTCCACTCATCGACTCGCTCTTCTCCTCGTAGATCCGCTTTACGCTCCTCAGATTCGCCTTGCTTTGTTCAAGGACTCGGCCACTGATTGACACACCATCGTCATGCAGGTTGTCGTAGAAGAACTTCTTGCTCTCTCGCTCTCTGTACGCGAATTTGACACTCGTGAAGTAGTCTTTGATGCTCTCGTACTCGTTCTCAAGATTCAGGAGGGAAGTGTCTCTCTCACTATTTGTCATGGGGTAGTATAGGTAGGGTAGTATAATAGGGTATAATGGGTAGGTTAGTATAATAGGGTAGCATATTACTATACTATACTATACTGTACTATACTATACTATACCATTTACTCACTATAGTACCATTTACTTGTAAACAAACAAACAAACATGTACCCTGTAAATGGCCCAGGAAGTCTCTCAATTCATCTGCGACAACATCAACATGCCATCCTGTCACCCACTCGATCTCAACACCACCTCCTACCTGAGCAGATCGGGCTCAATCCTAGGCATCCAGGTCGATGCGCCCTACACGATGGCCCTGAACCTCATTGGTGTCCTCCTCTGCCTCAGAATGTACCAGAATACGAATAACATGCATGCTTGCATTGGTAAGGGAGAGGTTAAGCTTATTCTCCTCTGTTTTGTTCTGAACAACTTGCTTCTTGTTGCGTGCATCAACTTCCAGGCCGTGATCGTAGGCGCCTCTGACGGCGCCTATCTCCTCCTTGCTGCCGCCCAGCTCACCCTCTTTGGCACGCTCCACTTCGGAATATTCGCATCTGGAATCACAATCGACCGAATCCATGGAATCATGAGAATGCAGTCCCACGTCTTCCTGAGTGCCATCCTCTGCTGCTTTGCCTCTGTTCTCCTTGCATTTGCTCTCATTGGCCTCTACATCAACAACTACCTGGTCTT